GGGGTTACTTTAATAAATGACTTTTTGTTTACTTTAAAAAAAAAGCCTTGTTTTCTGTTCAAATAAAGGACTTTTTCAAGGAGTTTTGTGTTTATTTTCAATTTTCCTTACTATTTACAACTACCCCTTACTCAGAAGTGGGGTGCCCACATCTGGGTGCCCCCTGTATGAAAGGGGGCACCCTGATGCTGATAAAGGCTCCCCCCCAAGCTGCTCGGATTAAGTGTCTGGTATGAGATTTTAGGGGGACCCCACATTTTTCTTGCATTGGGGTCTCCCTTAAAATCCCCCCCCCCAACATTCCTACCAGACCTAAAGAGTCTGATATGAGTTAGGGAGGCCACTACATGCTTTATTTATTTTTACATTTGTTTGCAATCACATTTTTCATTCTGCTTCACTAACTGAGGTAGTGAACAGAATGACTGACTGAACTGAAACACGAGTCCACTGTTCAGCAACTTGCTCTCTGCTGTTTCACCCCTTGGAGAATAGGGGTGAACAGCAGATGCTTCAGCCGATCCAGATGTTGCTGAGGCAAACGGACTCTTCCCTTCAGTTTAGCCAGACAACCACAGCCGAAGGGAGGTGAAGTGAGCCGAATGCAGCCCTTGTAGGGCTACAAATAGCCATACACGTCTGCAGTGAATAGACGAAGATACTTCAGCTCTTCCGTTCAACATCCTGCCCTGTAGACTCATTAGAATGTAATAGGATATCTTTCCAATGTGCGGGAAATCCCCTTTTTAGTTGTCATGGGAACAAGTGTACCCATTGGAAGATTTCTCTTTCTATTCCTGTTGTGGTGACTACTCAAAATGTTACCCTCACTTTCATTCCTGGTAACATTGGTGATCAGGACAGTTTGTGCATCCATACCATCACTATGTCTGGCAATACCTGCTTGTCCCATGCTACCACCACATGCAGCATATGTGCCTCTTGCTTTACATCTGCCTCTTATTGTGAGAGGTGAATAGTATGCCTAGCTTTTACTAGAAATGGCACTTGGATCAATGAAACGGTGAACACGGAGTACACAAGGCTATGTAGCCCACCATACTACAATTTGCATTATAGCATTGTATAGCAAAGTATCTAAACCCCTACACAGATTTATCAGCTTTCCCCAACCAGCTACAACACACACAATGGTTTCTGAGAGCCCACCCTTAGGGGACTGGCTTGCTTGTTCAGGGGTTTGCAGTACATAATGGGTCCAGGTGTGAAGTTTTGGCCATAAATTCGGAATCTGCAGTGCTGGAACAGAAGAAAGTAGAATCTGTTTTAAAGAACCCCATCAGGTGTATACTCTCCTCTCTGGCAGTCTGTTTCTCCTACTTCTTGTTCCTACACTGCAACCTTGGCAATCAACACTTCCAGGGGTGTTTTGATGCCTGTGACCCCCTTGCCATGCGTAATTCTTCCCCCCCCCCACGTACCTGCTGAGTCCTGCAGTGTCTGACACTCCCAGGAATGCTGAAACATGCTTTCCGAGGCTGCAGTGCTGAGACAGAAGAAAGGAGAAACAAGCCACCAGAGGGGTGATTATTTACTGCCTTATTGCAAGGGAGTGTATGTTTTAACACTTTACCACCGATAATTAAATATTTCCTGAAAGCAGAGACCCTGCAGCTGCAACTTTTTTTTATGTCACTTGATATTGGTGCATCTGTTAATCAAACCCAAATTTGCAGTTAATAGATTCATTTAGTTCACATAAACACAATTTTTATTGCCCAATTTTTTGGTGAAATATAAAACATGAGGTTGTACATGTAAAATAAATGCCAAACATGTCAAGCTTCAAAATTGCATGTGTGTGTGAAATGGCAAAGAACTATGATACCCAAAACTGTCTATACAGGTCATCAGTTTAAAGTTAACCGTGAACAATGGCCCTAGACTTATTGCTCTCACTCCGATACCCACCCCGTGTGGTACAATCATCGATTTCATACATAGGCGCATCTGACGTGTGTGTTTTTATATGTATGTGTACACAGGGACATGGGAATTTTAAAAGAATATTTGACTCTGTATTGCGATAGCATATTAGTGGTGACAGTTTTTCTTTAAGGAGGCATTAAGGCCCCAAATGTTTATCTTTGCACTTCAGTAAAGCTGATCACAAAACAGATCCCGCTTGATCAGCTTCTTCCCTGGCCACAGATTTAACCCTTTCAATCTATTCATAGATGAAAACTGTAACGGAAGGTGAGCTTTAAAGGTAATGTTGAATCCTTCAGAATAAGATTCTAGCAAATGCTTTTGCTGAGGCAATTGGAGGGTCGGAGGTCACCTGACCTCTGAGATGACTTTTCCATCTTTTAAAGTGACACTAAACTCTGGAATTAAATATTAAAAATGCCTATTTAAAAAAGTGTATCTTATTTGTGTATCGCTCAGCTGTAGATCCTCAAATCATCTCTGAATTGGTGCTGACACTGTCCTCCCTTCTGGGAGGTGGCTACTTTTCTTCCCCATGGTCCCTGTGTGTGTTGTAAAGTAGCCACCGCTCCAAGCTCGCTCCCGAGATAGACTACAATCCCAATACAAATTGGTAAACTAAATGTTAAATTGTAGCCCATCACAGGAGCGAGCTTGGAGCGGTGACTTTACAACATACACAGGGACTATGGGAAAAAAAGTAGCCACCCTCCGGAAGGAAGAACAGTGTCCGCATGAATTCAGAGATTTGAGGATCTACAGCTGAGTGATGAACAAATAAGATACATTTTCTTAGTTAATATATTTAATAGTTAAAGGAGAACTATGGGGTTAGGGCTTTCCCCCATAGTTCTCCTTAGGGTAACGGGAGGACACAAACTAGCATCCTCCCGTCGCCGTAAGCTCAGTATACCGCGAGCTACAACTCGCGGTATACTGAGACGCCGCAGTTTACCGCAAGCTGCTGCTCGCGGTATACTGAGGCGCTGCAGCGGATCCCGACAATTATGTCTGGATCCGCCCAGCTGCGTGAGTGACAGCTGGCTCTGCCAGCTGTCACTCACCTCATAGTTCTCCTTTTTTAAGGTACTTGAATGCATTTTTAGGATTTAACACATGAGTTTAGTGTCACTTTTTTAAGTACGTTAGAGAAGGAAACTGTTCCTGACACTCCTAGTGCTTGGACAAACTAAAGCTAAGCAAGGGAGAAATATGTAAACCTGCACAGTTTTCTTTATTTAAAGACTGAAGATTATGTGTCCTGCTTAAGGCCAATGATGACAGATTCTCTTCTGATTATGACATGAATATAACTGATTTCTCATATGACTGGATGAAACTAAAGATGTTCAACATCATTGGTTAGAAATCTGTGCTGATCACTATTCAGTGTGATGTGCCAGCTCCTTCCATATCCTGCCACTATTCCCCATGATGTGCCAGCTCCCTCCATATCCTGCAGCATCCTCCCCTTACACTTCTAACTGCACCTTAAAGTGTGACCTCTGCTTTGCCAAGCTTACAAGTTTATAGAATGCACTGCAGTGCTCTGAAGATTTTTTTTTTTTTTTACCCACGGGCATGTCACATCATGCCTGTATATTAGTTATTCTTCTAGAAATAAAGATGGCCTGGTCTTTAAACCATTTGGTTATAGAATATGAGAGCTTATCTCTCCAGGTTACTCTTGAGCATTGTACAGGGACTAATGGAGGTAGATGCACAAACAAAGGCTGATGCTGCAATCACATGACTGGATTTTTCACCTTTTCATATCTTTACTGAAGCACATACATATGAAATGGAGCAGCCACTTGACTTCAAATGCTGAAGACTGGGTCTTAAATGATCTGATCTTCAGAGTATTTCCCTTTTGTATTATTAAGTGAATTGTATTCTGAAGAGTCTGATGTTCTAAAACAACAATCCTAGTTTGTAGAAGGTTGCTTCAACAATTACTGCATGAAATGACCAAGTACTCTTATGAATGTTGGTTAATTGGTTTTCTTTGTTTCCAGCATGTGCGTGTTAATGCGGGATTGGTTTGAATACCATGGACATATGTGCATTGCATTTGAGCTGCTAGGAAAAAGCACATTTGATTTCCAGAAAGAGAACAACTTTCTGCCATATCCACTTTGTCAAATTCGGCACATAGCCTACCAGGTTTGCAACGCCGTAAAATGTAAGTTTGATAAAGACTTGATGTATGTTAATACCAGTTGATTGCTTGTGTGATTAGATTTTTATAAACCTGACTTGGCCTATGATGACATACTGGATACAATGCAGGCACTCTGTGTTGCCTGGAAGTACTTGTTATGGTCTGAAAATGGAGCCTTGTGGAGACCCTTGGATCTTTGGCAAATGCTGAGGATCGATGTAGAGCCTGGGCAAAGTCCTGAATAATCCTTGGGTTCCTGTCATTCAAATACTAGAACCTAGGACAACTGAGGCTCTGGTATTTGTCAATTGAATGATTGGTTGGGGCTTAGTGTCTGGAGGGGGCAGGCTTAATTCTGACAGTTCATGCTGTATGTACAGCCTGGACTTGAGATTGAAATTGGGATTGATGTAACTAACAACTTGAAGCCATCACAAGGTGCCTGCACAGCTGCATGCTTTTTTTTTTTTTTTAAACTTGATCAAGATCAATTTGAAATAGGGCATCTTATAAACGCTTTAAAAAGAGTGCATTTTGACCATAATATCTTAACAAGCAGGACCATTCTTGAATGCATATATGATGGTCACAGGAGCTCAATAGGAAAACAAGGTTTTATATTTCACATCTTTCTAGTGACATTAAACTCAGTTAAATCGTAATAGTTAAGGTACTTGAATGCATTTTTAACAAAAATTTATCTTATTTGTTGTGTATCACTATCGAGCCTCACATCATTTCTGAATTGGTTCGAACACTGTCCTTGCTTCTGGAGCTTGCTTCCGTCATAGACTACAATCTCAGGTTTAGTTTACTCATTTGTATTGAGATTGTAGTCCATCACAGGAGTGAGCTTGGAGCGGTGGCTACTTTACAACACACACAGGGGCCATGGGGAACAAAAGTAGCAACCTCCCAGAAGGAAGGACAGTGTCAGCACCAATTCAGAGATGAAATGAGGATCTACAAATAAGATACATTTTTGTTAATAGTTAAGGTACTTGAATGCATTTTTAAGACTTAACTCTTGAGTTCAGTGTCCGGCCGCCACAATAAGAGTCAACAGAATAGCCATCTCCTGCCGGAGTGATGCATGTAGCCAGTATAGTGGAACTGGCAATTACTGATCTGCATACCTGTTCTGTATGAAGTACTGTTGTAGCATGCCAACCAGCATTTTCAAAAGCATTGATCAAATTTCAGGCCACATTCCACCTCGTGACACGTTTTCTTTAAAGATTGTTCCAAGATGAGCACTGAAATTGTTCTAAGATAAACTTAATTTACATAGCCAAGTTTGAAATGTTGCATAATCTGGCTTTTTATTTTGCAGTTTTACATGACAACAAGTTGACTCACACAGATCTAAAACCAGAGAACATACTGTTTGTCAATTCAGACTTTAGCACTGCCTACAATGAGGAAAAGGTGAGATGTTCTACACACATTTTTTTACAAGCCATTGTTTACTTGAGTGCATGTCAATGGTTTTGGAGGAAGAAGATGCAGCGATAAAAATAATGCAATTGGCTTTAATGTCAGATCTTGTTATGTTTCATATCAATTCGAGATCATGTAGATGAGAGTTTTCTTTTGTAGCCTTTTCCATGTGAAAGCAAAACACATGCAATCAAATTGAATTGCAGAGCCTTTTTTGTGCATTTCACAACACACCTCAGTGAGACATGCTGTTAAAAAATGTGAGGTGTCAAATGCAGCCTCTGAACTGTTATCTACATTAATCTATTAGTGTGTGTGACTTTTAATGCTAATCCACATGATTTCTTTATGTTCTGGCAGAAGTGTGAAGAGAAACGTATAAAGAATTCCAGTATCCGTCTTGTAGACTTTGGAAGCGCTACCTTTGATCACGAATACCATACTACCATTGTGGCTACGCGCCACTATCGCCCTCCTGAGGTTATTATGGGTAAGTACCACCTTCATTTTAGAGGTCATGACCATTCCCACTAGCTGGGCACAAGATACCAGGGACACTGCCCAAGCACTGCTGGATTACATTAAAGGTTGTGGCTTCTGATAGCTCATACACTTTTTTTTTAATTCATTGTGCAATGTACATTGAACAATTAGTTGTGACATACTTGCTACAAAACAGCTATTGCAGCTACTAAAACTTTCAGCAGCATTCAGTCTAATTCATTTACTAAAATGTGTTATTGTTTGTATCAGACCTCGGCCTTTCAGAAGCTAGCACAATCTTACTTGCAGTATCCGTACCAAGAACAGGAGTTAACAGCCACCAATTAGATTTAGCCTTTAGAGTGGCTTTACATCTCATTGCTGGCTGCAGATAAATAACCCCATTTTGCAGTACTAAAACTTTGATACACAAGACCCATTGACTCTGATATACAATACTCGAGCATCTGAAAAAATACAGGTGTTCCCGTTTTGTGTCTATCCTAAATGGTTGGTATAAGTAACCACTTTACTTTTCTCTACTCCCGTTTTCATAAACCATATTTATTTCACTTGTGGTCATAATCTTGGGCTTTTAATGGTCTGTATATCATTGGTTATCTTACACATGACCTTAAAGTTGCATAATATAAATGTATTGCTTGCCTTTCCTTTTGTGAATAATGCAGCATTGTACGTGGTACTACCGCCCCCTTTTTTTTTAAACATTTTTTTTTTTATATCTGTAGAGCTGGGATGGTCTCAGTCATGCGATGTGTGGAGCCTAGGATGCATCCTCTTTGAATATTACACTGGCTTCACTCTCTTCCAGGTAAGTTGCATTAAACTAATCACAGATGTTTGTGTGGAGCAGATATTCAAGAATGCTAGGTATTCCTAGAATACTAGTCAGTTATCCCAACCAGTAGTGTGCAAGTAGGAGGGAAATATTGTGGTCTTGGGTTATATGCTGCCTGGTGGCATTTTGAGTTTTTTTTTTTTTTTTTTTTCCCCTTGAGTTTTTTATCAGCAAAATGCAGTAGACTCTGCAGCACATCCAAATGAGGGATCTGCCCACCTGTAAAGTGACAGGAACAGTGTTTATACCTTTCTCTCATCTTTCATTCATTTCCCATTCCTTCCAAAGGATGGGCCAGGGAGGAGTGTGATGTAAAACTGAGGTCTCAAAAGCGATTTCTCATTATCGATTTAAAAACTATTTTATCGATTTGGTTGTTGCAGCCCTAGGTGCATTGAACTGTAATGAAAGAAATGGATATGCTTTCTTTTGTAAATACTAGTTATGTCTCTGCTGTAATATTTAGTTTTAGTCCGTGACCGGGCAGACTGAAGATGAGTTCTGCTTTTTTTTAGCTGCAAGTTTTGTCCTAGGTGATCCATGTGGGTATTTAAGTCCAAAGGCGGCCAGGCAATTTGCATACTTTTCTAATGCATAAAATTTGAAGTGTTGCATCTGCATCAGTGTGATGAGAGTTTAATACAATGAACGCTGCTTTTCGTTTTCATCTGTCATCTCTTTAAAATCCTTAAAATGAAGCTCCTGTTGATGCTTTTTTCTTTTTGGATTACCATGAGAAAGTTTTAGAATTTGTTAGGAAAGGCTTTTCCTCTCATTTCCATAGTTACATAGTTCCTGGGGACATGACATACATTAAATGTGATCTCCTCTAACGGAGACAAAGATGGCAACAAAAATCTCATGTAGACTGGTGCTTCGGACTTGCCTTGGTGGGTTCCTGACCTTCTGTTAATTGGACTTGGGTCCTCTAGAGCAGTGGTTCTGAACCTGTGTAACCTCAGGACCCACATTTGTCCTCGGTCACCAAGTCGTGACCTAAGTTCCACCTCACTGGAACGCACGGCACTGCGGTACCACGCGTTTCGGTGCGGGCGATCAAACTGTGGACGCGAGGTGCGTTTGCGGTGCCATTCAAATGAATAGCAACGCAATGCACCTTCCGCACCAGAACACGGGACTGTGTGATTAACGCACTGTACTAGTTTGAATGGGCCCTCAAAACACTGACAGACACACCTTATGAGAACAGGAGTGGATCCTCAGCCTGGGGTCCAGTGTGGGGTGCTGTGTTGTGACAGAGCTCCATCCATATGTGCATTGCTAGTACAGCTCCCTTGTGTGCCCTGTAGTGGTGTCGGGAGCCAGCATGTGACGTCACTCCAGTCCAGACACCTCTACAGTACACGTGAGGGAGCAGTAAGCAATGCACGTATGGATGGAGCTCCCTTGCGAACATACCCCCAGCCCACTCCACGTCAAACTGACACTCTGCCCCGGGCAAAATATTTTTCAATGGCTGCTCAGCGCAAGAACTGGCAGTGCTCTGCTAGGGAAAGGCTGAGGAGCCTCTTGCCTAGTGCAATAGAAGGCATGCGGCGACCCACTAAACACGGGGTTGAGAACCAGGGCTCTTGCCAGTGATGCTCCTCCTCCTGATTGAGCTATTCACTTTGTGGATTGAACAGTGTGGTTGCATGTGTTTTTATGCTGTTACCAGGAAACCTTTGTACTTTGGACTGTTGTACCTATGTATTGATTTCCGAGACCTATTTAATTTGTCCTTGTTTTCACCTTGTTTACTTATTAAAACCTTAAACTCAATAAATTCACTGTTAAAAATAAAAAATTGTTCTTGCAGACCGAGGAAGAGTTTGTTTTGGCGTCTTACCCACTATGTGCATTTCCCTGTTTTTGGTTGGACCAGACAACTGCCTGACAGCCATCCTACTTTCTGAGTAAATGAATGTTAACTTTGTCTCCCCGCTCCTCCCACCAAAGGCACAGAAAGGAAAGTCCTGGACACCTAAGAGTACATATTTTTGCTGGCACCTGGCAAAAAAGACTTTTCTCTCCCCGTTCATTGAAGGACACAGGCAACAGATCGTAGATCCTGAATGGTAGGGTAATATTGCCACCTGCAGGAGAAGGACGCTAGGCACAAAACTAAAGACCAATTACAGCCTAGGGGCGGCCCCTGCTGGTGGCCAAACCCCCCACCTGCTGCCAAGTCTCCAGTTTTTTGCCTAGCGTCAGGAGTAAGGAGCTAAAAAAATTTCTCTGGAGAATTTTTTTCCTTTCTTCCGTTTTGACTTGCTAGAAGAAAAATTGGGGTTTGGCCACCGGCAGGGGCCGCCCCTAGGCTGTAATTGGTCTTTAGTTTTGTGCCTAGCGTCCTTCTCCTGCAGGTGGCGATATTACCCTACCATTCAGGATCTACGATCTGTTGCCTGTGTCCTTCAATGAACGGAGAGAAAAGGATTTTACGGTGAGTACAAAAATCCTATTTTTCTGACACAATCCTAGCACCTGTGGTAAAAAGTCCAAGGTGGCTATCAATGTATGAGGTTTTTCTGAGCTTTGGTATGGTCCATGACCTGTTTACTTAGTATGGTATTGCGTTAGTGTTTTTTTGAGTTACTGTGCAGGTTGACTTGCTTTTTAACAATGATTTGTAGTCTGTGTTTTTGCTACTAGAGCTCTGTGCTCAGCTCTCTGGGCAGGAGACATCACCTGCATATTATAAACAAATATGGCTACTCATGCTGCATTATGTAATATGGAAATTCCCCTTCTGAACAGATAATTATGATTATCATTATACTATATATTCCCAGTATTGCTTAAAAGAAAAACTTCTGAGAGAAATAGGACTTCTTTCTGAAAATGCAGTTACCTAGATCTATTTGGTTTCATTTAGGGATACACCAATAGAGTATCTGGGCTCGTACTCGCCCAAATGCTCCGACACTTACCTCCGATACCGGAACTTCCGACCAGAGGGAGGTCTCCCTCCGACCAGCAGTATCGAGGGAGCATGAAGCCGGCCGCCTTTCCAATCACGGAGCCAGACTGTGGGTTATGAACCGGCTTCCTGATTGGCTAGGAAGCCAGGTTCACTAGTTGCTAGGCAGCTTGGCTTCCTGACCAATCGGGAAAACGGACGGCACCTCAGAGCTGCAACAACTATTCGATTAAAATTGATGATGAGAATCGTTCTCATCATCGCATAGTTGCCGCTGTTCTGCTCCCCGCGTTATTGCACCCGCCCACTGCCTGCTGTCAATCAGCATGGGAGGACCTGATGGAAAACTTCTTCTCTTTCAGGCCCCTCCTTTGCTGATTGACAGCAGGCAAATGCAATAGCCAGCCTGCTATTGCAATTTGAAATAACCAATAGCAGGCTGGGCATGGCTCCCAGCAATAAAGTAAAAAAAAATAAAACAAAGTTTAAAAAAAATAAATTTAAACTAAAAATAAAAGACAAATACTTAAAAAAAAAAAAAGTTAAATAAAAATTAAAAATGCAAACAAAAAAAAAAGTTTAAGAAAACTAAAATTTAAATTCTACAGGCCCAGCGGGGTGCAGGGTGGTTGTAATCGCAACGTGGTGGTGTGAACCGAGCGGGTGACGGGGAAACTCTGGTTGTCCCAGAAAGAAAAACTAGGGACACTCCGAGCTTCCTTTCATTAACATACAAGATCTTTCTGGAGCTTAGACCCTGTTCCAATCTATGTACTGATAACGAGATCTGCCAGCACAGTACAGATGGGGTTAATTATGGTAACAGTAACACACACACCCCATGCAATCCTGAGAAAAATTCTGTTTGATTTCAGGAAAGAGCAAGAAATATGTAAGCAGCTGTTATTTATTTTTAAGTTCTGTGTGGATGGGAACCTGTAACAAATCTAAAATGGGCGTTTATCCCGATGTGCCTGCAAAAGTAGAAATACACTTGCAGCTTTTGTTGTGGTTCACATCCTGACCTGTGGCTTAGCGATTGCCTGCTCATGGCAAACCTTGAGACTTTGCTTAGTAGCTTCCTGTCCAAACAACGGAAGTGCTTCAAACATTTGGTAGTGTTCACATAATGAGAAAAGGTTTAGTCATTTGCCGAGGGGAAGCAAGTACTTTAATCCTTTGATTTACTGACATCACGGACTTTAGCTCAGTGGCTATCTGACCTAAAAAAAAAAAAATAGATATAGATGACACTGCGCGCTAAAGGTAGAACTCAAACCGAAAATAACTGAATTCCAACCGTTCAGAACTCAAACCTAAAATGAGATCAAAATGGCAAAACCGCCTTTGCTGCAATATTGAACTTCAATCCAGAGATTTCCTCTGCAGCACTTTTTTTTTTTTTCTCTTTCAGTCACTAGATGTCCTCAGTCTAATGGTCAGTGTCATTAATCCACTTCCCCTGAGCCCAGGTTGTCCTGGCTCCACCACATCCTCACAGTGAATTGAGAAGCGGCACAGTGATGAGCTCATCTCTCAGTCTGCTCTCTCCTCCTACCAGCGTGCTTCTTGTCGGCACATGAACTGACTGGCTCCTTGTACTGCATCTTCCTCTCGCAGTTCAGCCTTGCTGCACATGGAGCAAAATAGACTGACAGTGTCTCACTTATACAGAGCTTTATTAAAGAACTCTGTGCAGACATATTTTTAACCCTGACTCGCAGAGGCATGGTGGCATTTGTATTTCAGCACAGCTGGAGTTCTGACATTGGCTACTCCTGCCCGCTGTAGTGGTACCAAATATAGATCACACAGCTCATGGAGAGACCATGTATTGGGTAAGCTCACCACTAATAGTTTGAAAATCATTCTTCATCAGAATGTCCAGCAACATCAAACGTCAAGGAGAGCATAGGTAAGTAATGGATGGTGGTCTCGTAATCCAGCATCATGTCTAAAGGTGCCCATACACTGCACGGGAAATCCCGCGATTGTACGAGAATCGTGCAGTGTATGGAAGGCGTGTGACCGTTTCTAGTGTACGGCCGCACGACTTTTGTATATCAAGCGTTGCAGGAAAGCCAGCCGAGAATCTTACGATTTTCGACTGGTTTTTAACATGATCGGGAGATCATTGCCGAACGGGCCGGTGTGCGCATGCGCACACTACCCGTTCAGCATTGCAGTCATCGGAAGCCCGCCCCTCGGGGGCGGGCTTGCGATGATCGCAAGTACGATCTGCCTGTCCAAGATAGGCAGATCGTACGTTTTTTTTTTTTTTAAGTACTTTACAACCCTCGCAAGATAAAAGTCTTGCGAGGGTTATAAAGTTTATGGGCACCTTAATCCTGCCGTACTGGGCAGTATAAATACGTGAGAGGTTCGAGTTCACCATATAAAGGACCCAAGTCACCTAGGTTGGTATAAGTTGTAGCTCCTGCAGGAGGTGATTGGCTTGTTTATGGTAAGATGTGGGGCGTATGTATAAAGGGGGGTGGAAGACGGTTGCTGTAACTTGTTATAAAGGTGGAGCTGTGGACTTTTCCTGTTCTATTACAGGTGTGCAGAGTTAGTGAGACTACTTGTAAAATCTTTATAGGGTCAGGGTACTTGTCACTACCAGTATTATACTGACTGACTCGGTTTCGATGGTTAAAATCGCAATTTAAAGAGTCAAAACTGCGCTTGAACAAAAATCTCAACGAACAGCTTGTAGGCAACCATAACCAGATTGAACACCGGGGATTAACCGTATGATTTCTCTGCCATTTCTCTTTCTTTAGACCCATAGCAACCTGGAACACTTGGTAATGATGGAGAGAATTCTTGGGCCATTACCTCGACGCATGGTGTACAAAACAAAGTAAGAGACCGCTTATCTGTTATCTAAATACAGCTAACAATAGACACTTGACTGTTGTATGACGCAACATGTTCAGGGATAAGAACGAAATAGCCGATCTTTAGACTAAAAGGCATTTTCGGTGGGTTTTGCACAGGAAGTAGTCAAGTAGTTGCATGCAACTCTAGAGACCGTTGTCCACATTTGTCTGCTAAAGTGGACCAAAACTCAAACATAAGCCATTTTCTAAAAACAATGACATTCATTTGCACAATGAGGGCCTGTTTTGGACTGATGTACCTTTTTATTGGATATCTCTTCTCTTTTTGGAGTACAGTAAAGTAGTGGTCACGTGTCATGGCTCTGGTCTAGGATCCAAAGTTGCAGAGATGCTCAATCCCTATGTGAGATGAAGTGGGTCCTGCATAGAATGGTATGAGGCTTGGGTGACACCAGGGCAGAAGCTAGCCCAAGCATTGAGTAACAGACAAGACAGCAGTGTCGCTTATATCAGACCTGTGGAAGTGTTGGCCTTCTGAAAGATTTTATGAATAATTTCACTCATTTGGAAATGTGCTGAGAGAACCTGTAGGCTGCTGTCAGGCTATTATACTAATCCAGAGGGGTCCAGCACTCGTTCCAGGCACTGACCTGTAACCAGTATGGAGGCCGCGAGTTCTGACAGCACTGACTTTCTAATCTACAGGTCTGTTTGGGTCAATGAGGCAAGCACATTTGACACTGTACTTTTATTGGCCACATGAGCATCTAAAATGTTAAACTTTTTTTCCCCCCCCCCGTACTAGGAAACAAAAGTACTTCCAAAATGGTGCCTTGGTCTGGGATGAGACGACCACAGACGGACGATATGTCAGCAAGAACTGCCACCCTTTACGAGTAAGGAGATACTACTAAGACCGATCTGGTTCTTCCCAGTACTGCTTTCTCTCACCAGTGGCTAGATAAGGAAATCTTATTGCATTCAATCACCTATATTAGGCAGAAAGTAACCAATCAACATTGGGATTTCAGAATCTTGGGGGTTCCCGCATTAATAAAAGCAGCCTTGTTTGGTTGCTATAGATCAGGAGTCGGCCACCTTTTCCACATAAGCATTAGATGACGGGTGTGCCAGTGAACAATAGCACAGCTTAGTCATGCAGTTTTTTTTTTCTTTCTATTTTTGCACTAATTGTAGTGCTAATGGCAAGTTAGTATTTTAACCTCTTCCTGACCACCTTAAAAAAAAAACCCCGGTGACACCTGAAGTGGTTATAAAAGATCACAGCTGCCGCGATCTTTGTACTGCTTTAAACAGCCAGAGAGTTGTCATTAGCCTTACACCACTAAAGTAAGAGCAAATAGTGGATCACTGGGGCTTACAGTACACCTCTGCACTTGGTGTTCTATCAAACAGAAGGATGTTCCTCCCTTGCAGAAGTCTGATCGTAGGAGTTTTTAGAAGACGACCTTAGACCTGTTGAAGCTGGTAAGACAAACTGTGGCTTCAGTCTTCAAACTAGCCCACTGTTTGCTGCAAACAGGTCCCTGCAATGAGAAGGGCCTTCCCATTGCATGCCAGAAAGAGTCTCTGGATGCAAAGTGGTAGTGTGTGCTGGTTGCTGGAAATCGGAGCGTTACAGCACCCAGCAATGTAATCTTCAGTACTGTCGGCGGGCGTAGTGATCTCATGGATCTGGCCAACCGAGAATCCACGTGGGACATGGAGTATATTCAGATGTAAGTAATCCCTGGTCATATGTGCCAATGAGCCTTACCGAATCTCATTAGGGCCAAGTGATGGGCAAGCTATTCCTCCCACTGACCATAACAATGGAGCCCTACTGCTCCCACTGAAGTTTGAGGGCCCCTGGACTAGCACCTCTATCAGTCCACAGGCCATTTATTATATGTGCTTTTATGTCAAATAACACTTATATTGTGACCAATGGTTTTATGGCTTTAAATCTTTTGAATTCACATTTAAGAGCTATTCATGAATAAAGAACTTATCTGGGTATGAGAAAATGCTTTGATATCATTTAATATTTTCAGTATGATTTGAGTGGTTGGAATATAAAGTAGGAAACATGAAATCTTGTCTCATTTGCTTGTGCTTTAGTGACGCTAGGATTTTTTTCCCATAATACATTTTTTATTGATTGGGAATTGATTGATGTATATGGATTATTTGTTGCAGACTTACAAGACTGAAGATTCACCTGAGCATGCTGAGCTGTTTGACTTCCTACGTAAGATGTTGGAACACAGCCCCACCCTGAGGATTACACTGAGCGAGGCCCTCCGGCATCCTTTTTTCAGCCACCTGAGCCCTGAACAAAAGACTCTCGGAAGCAGAACCTCCAGGGACCTGAGTCGATAGGAATAAATGGCACTAGAATTCCCCTACTTCCTGCCATTCCGCAAGATCTTCTTCAAAGGACATATACTTTAAGGGTGGACTTGCAATATTGCATGTGGGATTTCTAAGTAAAGCCAAGACTTGTAAATAACATTGCACATTGCTGGCATGTTATTTTATTTAAGACTGTCGGATGCCTTATTGTCACTATTGCACATGGGAACGCTGTACGTGAACCAGGAGCCAGTGAGGAAACACTGTTGAAGCATCTGTACTGCTGAGTGGAAAATCACTCTAGATTAGAAGACCAAATGCTTTTCTCCTCCCTTTCAAGCTGAAGATGCAAAGTAGTGTGAGCACAGCGGATAAGCATACAGGACCTATATCAAGTTCCTGTCTTTACTCCTATGTATACGTTTGCAAACTCAGGGATACATCGGGAGGGTGAAATATTCTTCAACAGTGATCCTCGATATGGTGACCACAACTGCAATGCTGTAATATTATAGGCTATGGCATGAACTCTGTTGCCTTGTATACTTGGCTCACTGTTGCACATGTAGCATGGACGGGAGGGATGTTATTATTTTTGTATAGGAGCTGTTAAAAATAAACTTTGAATGGTCATCATTTTATTTTTTCTCCTGGTGGAAAATGTTAATACATAGTTTAGAAACCCTGTAGACGTGACGTTTTGGTGGCTGACGCATTTCATTTGTACTTTATCCCAAGTAGATTTAGTGGAACATACTTGCATATAATCACTGCAAGGAAAACACTTCACCATTTACACCGATAGCTGCCCATACGACTTTCGTTGTGCGATGGTTGTAAGGTCATTAAAACTTCGTATGACCTGCCCATCTTGGACAGGCAGATCGTACTTGTGATCATCGCAAGCCCGCCCCGCTGAGAGGAGGGCTTCTGATGATTGCAGTGCTGAGTAGGCAGTGTGCGGTTGCGCACACCGGCCTGTGCGTCATTCATCTCCTGAGCACGCCACTAACCCGCCGAAAATCGTACGGTTTTTGGCAGGTTTTCCAGCGTGCTTGGAAGATGAATGTCGTGCGACCGTGCAGTAGAAACGGTCGCACACCTTCCATACACCTGCCACTTATCGTACGATCGCATGATCACCCGCGATTATCGTA